AGTTCGAATATTCTAGGTATATTCTCCAGGTATGTTCATAGAATATATTATTTAGATACTCTGAGAAAGAGAAACATTTTGTTTCCCAAACATATATGTCCTAACTTGCTTCTATTTTGAGATAGAGGGAATAACATTTTTCAGTAGAAATCGATATTTCATTGATTATTCAAAATCCTTTTCGCTGATTTTGATAAAATTTGTCATGCTCATATGATGTGGTACCAAAGGGATTCAATATGAATTCAAATTTATCGCTATTTTCTCCAATTAATCTCTTCCCACATATTAGAGGGGAGCTGAAACTAAATATGCTTCCACACATTCGTGAAGCATCCATGATCCCTATCGTATATGTGTATGAAATAAATATCACCCTAATGGTCACTTATTGAAAATATTTTCCTCCTATATACTTAGATCTCTGAAATATTTCCCATGCGCTTCAAGATACCCTGTATACTGCTCTACATATATTCATAGAATATTCTGAAAAATATCATGAGAACGTTCGGGGAACGTGAATTTTCGTCCCATTTGAATATGTTCTTAGAATATTCTCAGAACGTTGAGTGCATCTTGCGAGAACATTCTGAGAATATTCGGAATGTTCCACGGGAATATTCTAAGAACGTTCACAGAATCACTTTGTGCTATCTGGGTATAATGTAATTAGTATATGTACAGTGTCATTCATAAAGTCGGCATCATAATATGGGAAAAACTTTTATTAATGACTTATTTTGAAATTCGAGTTGGACGTAAAGTTTTGCTTCAAAAAAGATGAAAAATGGCCTACTCAATCGGGGTCACGTGACTTTCGATACATGTCAAAAGTGACATTTTTTCAAATTAATCGCTGAAAGTAGGCTTATTTGTTCGACTCGGATTCTATCTTTCTATTACATTTTTAAGATTTCGATATTTTTTAAAAATTTTCGTAATTTCTGTAATATTAAAAAAGTTGTAAATTCGATAAAACTACTCCATACCAGTAGCTTCATCATGCTACTCACTTTCAATGACTAATTATCACTAATTATCGACAAAAATATGATTTTCTTTAGAAAATGATAATCTCCGCTTCAAAATTCAGTTATGTTTGATGCAAACATAACATCAAAATTCTGTTTTGTTTGAGTCAAGCATTTAGAAACGAAATTCATTTAAATTCATATTTTCAGTACTGAAAAAATGAATTTAAATGAATTTCGTTTCTAAATGCTTGACTCAAACAAAACAGAATTTTGATGTTATGTTTGCATCAAACATAACTGAATTTTGAAGCGGAGATTATCATTTTCTAAAGAAAATCATATTTCTGTCCATAATCAGTGATAATAAGTAATTGAAAGTAACTAGCATGAAAAAGCTACTGGTATGAAGTAGTTTCGTGGAATCAACAATTCTTCAACTATTACAGAAATTTTGAAAAATTAAAAAAAAATCAAAATCTAAAAGCTGCAATTCGAGAAGCATGTGTAAAATTGAGATAGAAACAACTTTTTCAAGTAAACTTTTTCGATATTCGAACAAATAAGCCTACTTTCAGCGATTAATTTGAAAAAATGTCATTTTTGACATGTAGCGAAAGTCACGTGACCCCGATTGAGTAGGCCATTTTTCATCTTTTTTGAAGCAAAACTTCACGTCCAACTCGTATTCCAAAATGAGTCGTTAATAAAAGTTTTTCCCATATGATGCCGACTTTATGAATGACACTGTATAGATATCGTGACTCATGTGAAGTTGGTGCCGTTTTTTTTTTTTGGAAAACTACATTTTGTTGCTGTTCTTAGTAGATTTGATGGGGTTTTAGAGTTCCTGATTGAAATCTTGAATGGTTCCAGCACTTTGTAGATGTAAATGGAGAAAAATAATTTTGAGCACTAACTTCACGCAGCGCCGCTTTTTTTCTTTAGAAAATTAATTCTGATATACATTTTCCGAGATATTTTCATTGTATTAAAAAGAGTTCTGGAGTTCTAAACCTATTTGATCAATAGTTCTGATGAACTGAGCAAATCATTGAATAATTCATGGAAATAAAGGGGAAAAAATCAGCTGACACAGAACTCGTGGTGCCGACCTTAAAAAAATAATAATTTCAATAAATAATGAATTCCGAAGAACAGAACAGTTCTGATGAAAGTTCTGAGTAGCACTCGACGAGTTCCTCGATACATTCTTATTGTGTTTAAGTGACTAACCGAGCATTTCTCAGAACGGCCATCAGAACTGTTCTATTCTTTGAAATGTCAGAACTCCCATCAGAACTGTTTTATTCTTTGAAATTTTTTTTTTAGCGAATATGTTAATATTTTGATGAAATTTTGATTTTTTTCTAAAACGCAATAAGATTTTTGATCTGATTTTTTTCAGATTTTATATTTTGTAATGATTTTCCCACTGTTTTCTTGAAAGCTTTTTCTTTTTCTTCAACACAAAAGAAAACGGAATAGTATATTACCAAGAAATGCCACCTACAGATTATAAAAACACAATTTCGTATTTTATTTCCTCGAATTGTTCAACAATTTGCTCAGTTCACCAGAACTATTGATGAAATAGGTTTTGGACTCCAGAACTTATTATAATACATCAAAAAAATATATCCGAACTCATTTTCTCGAAAAAAAAAAAATGGAGCTGCGTGAAATTAGCGCTCAAAATTAAATTTTTCCATTTACATCTACGATTTGCTGGAACTATTCAAAATTCCAGTCTGGCACTCTAGAACTCCACCAAATCTACGCACATCTTCTAAAAAATTGAGTTTAAAAAAACGGCGAATCACAAGATGAGGAGCGTTTTATTGACATCTGAAACCTCAAAATCGCAAAATTTCGTAGCGTCCAGTCCAGTCACACTGTATATGTTGTTAGTCAATCATGTTGTGCTAGATATACAATTATTCAATGTATAGATATTTTATTCCTAACACTCATAGATCATAGACCAAACTAATAATAAAAATAAACAGTTATGCACTTCCTTTCCAGTCAGACATGAAAGGAATATGAAATTTTTGACCTGCCAATAATGCATTAAAACCATGATTATAACCAAACCAGCAATAACATGTCCACATATTGAATATAAATTCCTAGAAATAATTATATGTTTAACATTGAAACTGCGATAAGCCCTACACAAATAATCGGAGAAATGGAAACAAAGCACTGCTGATAATAAATGAAAGCGCCAACAAAAATAACATTCTTCAACTCAAGGTTTGCAAGCAATTGTGAAAGCAGTGAAGACACATAAATTCTTCTTGAGATTCAATGATAAGAACGGAAAATTCACATGTTACCATTTTTATTGACTTATTGATCTTTTTTAATAGCTTCAGACATCATTATTTACACTATTATTGTCATAATGATGAATTGAAATAGGTTTTTAATGGAGACAAAATTACGCTCGATATACTTCCAACATTTTAAGCACAACCATTTGATACATTCAGTTACTGTCAATATGGAATTAATTATCAATTTTGGATTTGGTAAAACTGCATTTAGCATGCGATGATCTGAAAAACACGAACTTGATAATGAAAATGTGAACAAACCATTTATTTATCAAGATATTTCACTATAAAGTTACAAATTTCACCTTCTTTTCCGCCTGCCTTCTGGATTGAATTTAAAACAATTTACCCTTCTTTTTTCATCATTGGACAATTTATATATATCACAATGTAAGACACATTTTTTTCTATTATTGAGTCAACTAGAAATATGATTTTCTTGTGATTTATCCATATTTAGTGAAAAAAAGGAAGAATATCATTTAAAATAATGGCGTGTGTAATGTCAATTTGGATTGACTATTAATTAAATGCCGTCATCGGGTATGCTTGTTCACTAAATATGAAAAACTCGCCATAAAAATCATATTTCCTGTTGAATTTTCTGTATAAAAATGTGTCATTGCAGTACATAATGAGTATATAAAGTGTCCAATGACAAAATAAGAAGATCAAGTACCTGTAAATGCATCCAACACAAGGGGAAGGAGTCGAAATTTTGAACTTTTTTTTTTTTGAAATATCTCGATAAATAGTGGTTTGTTCACATTATCATTGTCAAATTCGTGTTTTTCAGACAAAAATACGTAAGTATCAACATAAATTTTCGAAAAAAAAAAACATCGCATGCTAAATGCAGTTTTACCTTGGATTCATTCAGCCAAATTACGGATGCCACTGGCGAAGAAAAATCAAATGGTAGCCCATAAGGAATTACTAAAAAACCATTGAAATTACTTTACCGCCCGTTCACCTACTTTAATGCCCGCTGGACTCCTTTACCCACCGTTCCCCTTTATCGCCCTAGGGCGCTAAAGTGCTACTTCACTCCCGCGAATCCCGGCGATATAAAGTGCTACAATAATGATATAAAATCAACAGTATGAAACTTACACAGGGTGATTACACTATGGTATGTGTTTGTGATGCCAACCACAACTGAATCAACCAACTCTTTCAGAAAATAAAGGCTGCAAACTTTTTCTGCATCACCAGGTGTACTTAAAAAATGGATAGACATAAACTGAGTGCATGATTTTAGACCGATGGAAGACGGTATTAATAGTGTGTTGAGAATTGTACTTGAATATCATCCAGGCTAACCCTAGGGGCTTACCTAAACATTTGTCCTTGGATTTGTATTATTAGAGAAAAATGTGTAAGATATCAGGGAATATTAGGTTGATCAAATTCAATACTATTCTTCTAGATGAAAATCAGTCCAAAATTTGATAGAAGTTTATACAGAAGTGCAAGTGATTGTCATATGAAACCCAATGGGTAAATGGATTTCTATATCAATGTTTCCAATGAATCAACAACCAACTTTCTTGGTGAGAGATATATGGAAATTAGTGGTTCTGCACTGGCTGCTATATATTTGAACCACACCATGACTTGTATAAATTATTGATAGTTTTATTAAATGCCATGAATAGCTAATAAAATCTAAAATACTGAAATTACTGCAAAGCAAACCTATTGTTTTATTATAATTTATAATAGTCCATAAGCCAGTTCAGAAACTGTTTGAATTCACAGTGATCAATGAAATGCAGAATGAAATCAATATTCCACCATATAAAGCAACTTCTTGAACAAAGTATCAACATAGAGTGTAGCCATTCATCAGAGACTTTCATATCCTACCAAATATAAGGTGAAATATCTTCAGGCAGTTCAATACCATGTTCAAAACAAAAATATTTTCACCATATAACTTCTGTTAAAACAAGCCTTTCTTCTTTTTCTCTTTCTTTCCATCAACAGTTTCTCTGCTGCCTTCTAGAGACCTTCTGCGTAACTCCTCCACTGTCACTTGATTCTCCTTCTCCCATGATTCCTTCTCCATTTCAAACTGGCGTCGTTTTTCATCTAGTTCTTTTGCTTGAAGCTCCAATGTTTTTTTGGTGGCTTCATGTCTCCTTGTCAATTCTGCCTCACTATCTTTCAGTTTCTGTTTTTTCTCGCGCACCTTCATCTCAAACACCTGCTCCATTTCAGCTTCCATCTTTTTCATTTTCACGTCATGCTCACGCTTTTCTTCATCCATTTGTGCCAGAGGGTTCTTGTTGGATATCCTAGATGGCTTACCATCAGTGCCCAATCCTGCTAACTTGCGACATCTGTAGTTTTCATAATGTACATTATTAGTAACATCCTTTAGATCCTGAAGATGTGTACGTATGACCATGTTACGGAGTGCTATGAAATCACAGTGTTCCAAATTTTCCACTTCTGCAATACCCCAAGGGTATCTTCTACCCCTGACTTTCTTTCCATCAACTTCTATAACAACATTTGAGCCAACCACAGCAAATGGCACCCTGTCCTTCAATGACTTATTCAGTTTTTGTTCTTCATCTTCATCAGGAGTATCAGGGAACTCATATATCTTAATTTTATGTTGAGCAATCTCATTGAGAATTTGCTTTTTGAAAAGATTACATTCATCTTCTGTCAAAGTATCAGCTTTAGCTATTACAGGGATGATATTCACTTTATCACATAGACGTTTCATGAATTCTATGTCCAAAGATTTCAAGCCATGTCCAGAGGGTTGGATGAAATATAAGCAGCAATGGACACGCTGATCAGGGCTCATTTTCCTTGTGACTCTAGCTTCAGAGTTCAAATAGTCTTCATATTTACTTTCTATGAACTCTATCACTGGAGTCCAGCAATTACTATTGTCCACAGCATCACCAAAACCTGGAGTGTCTACCATAGTCAGGAGTAAATTAACACCATTTTCTTTCAACAATACTCTAGTTGTTTCCACAGCTACAGTTTTCTTGAGTCTTTGTGTAGGACCAGGATAATCACTTGCATTATACAAATCTGTCAAAAACATAGAATTTATCAAAGTAGACTTTCCTAAACCTGATTCACCCACAACCATTAGAGTGAACTCAAATCCTTTTTTCACAGCTTTTCTATACACCTGATTTGGTAGATTTGCAAATCCCACATATCCATCAAGCTCCTTTGGTTTTGGACGTTCTTTCACTATTTCAGGAGTTGATTCTTTACTATTATCCTCTTTGGTTGAATCAGGAGATCCAGACTTCAATGATGTGGTCTCCAAAGATTTCTCTATGGAGGGAGTTTTGTTTAGTCTATTAGAATCTTTGCATGCTGTATTGGGAGAGTCTGTGGAAGTGAAAAACATTTCTCTCTTACTTTGTAGTGTAGCAGAGCTTGAATTGATTTCAATATTTCCATTAGCTGGAGTTCCTCCATTTGTTGAAGAATTATTCTGCTGATCCATGAATTTTTGCCTCATAGCTAGACGATCTAAGCTAGATAGCCTGTAAGATCCTCCTATGCTATCCTTATCTCTATCTCTGTTCAAACCATTACCTGCATTGAAACTTGATGTATACTTTGGAAGAGTAGGAGGTGGAGTAGGTTTGTTTTCTGGATTACGGTTCAACAAAGCACTACTAGAAGTATATATGTAGCTACTGGGCATAATGTTTGGTCTGGATTTTATTGTAGCAGTTGTCTGTTGTGTGGATGGGACTTGAGCATTAACATTATTGGCACTCATTTTGTGGAAAAAGTATTTCTCTAGATTACTGTAATCTACTCATTACTAGAACACAATATGTGCTACAACTGTATACAAAATTAGACTCGCTCGTTTATTTATTCACATCAATCATCAAGCTATCACTCAACCAGGGATGAGTAATTTTAATCTCCCAAGCCACGCCCGACGGCAGTTGCGAATCTACAAATAAATTATTCTTATCTTCTGAATTTACACATATTTGCTTCGATTACGTACCAGACAGAATTAACAACACTAGTTACTTCATTTCGAACACAAAATCGTTATAAACACTACATATAAATATCTTCTTTTATTGACATTGTTTGGTAGTTTTTTAATACACAATCAGAACAAATAAAAACACACTGACAAACTGACAACAGTGACAGCTGAAACTGACAAGCAACTGACAACAGAGAACATGTTCCGATATTCCTGAACAGTGCTGCATTTTGCTGCATTCAATCGTTCCGATTTTACTGAAATTTACTGTTTACTGGCAACGTTTTCGCTTAACGGGTCCCTTGTCCTTGTAGCTAAGCTTGTAGCCATCTTAATTTCAAGGAACCCTGTTAGAGGTTAAAAGTTTACTGTAGGCCACTGGTGCAGAAATGGTGATGTAGTGCCATTATTTATGAAATGTTTTTCTACGGCATAAAACAAAATTGCTCGTGTTTAACTGTTTTCGATTTCCGTATTTGATATCACAATGACTTCATTGTGTTATTAGGCCTGTTCGTTTGTATTGCTCAATGTCGGCTAAATGAATAAGGAATCTAGTCAGCTCTAGAGGGCCAGAGCTGACTAGATTCCTTTCTCATTCGGCCGACATTGGTATTGCTGAACTTGCCAAAGTTGATTTTATTTCTCATAGTTGTCTCTGTTCATGGCATGATGTAAACAGAGAAAGTCATAGAAAACAATCAAGTTCAGCAGGTAGAGCAAGCACAAACGAACAGGCCTAATATTTCAAAAAATTATCATCGCACTTGGAATGTCAAATTTCAAGTAATGACGTGAGGTCTGTTCGTTTGTGTTTGCTCTACCTGCTGAGATTTTTTCCTATGACTTTCTCTGCCATGAACAGAGACAACTATGGGAACAAAATCAACTTTAGCAAGTTCATCAACACAAACGAACAGACCTGCACCACAGAAGTGCCTAAATCTTTCGAACCGTTCCCAGCACGTGATATATTGAGATACAAGTTTTTTGTTTTTGATGATTATTTCTCGCAAAAAACTGGAGGCTGAGTTTGCTCGGGGATATTATTCTGGTATACTGATGGCATGGCGTCAGCCCACTGTGATCATTTATGTAGTGATTTAGGCTTTCAAGGATGTTTCCCCTTCCTCTGTGATAATTTCTTATATATTTGTGCCACGTGATTCACTGTGACCAATCAAAATGGGATTTGGGAATGGTTCGAAAACTTTAGGCTCTCATTGCACCCAATGAATTGATTGCACCACGAACACTAGAGTCTCAAGATCATACCCGTGTGTTCACCGAACACGCCCGACCGTTCCCTAAGCGGTGGGAAAACGTAAACGGGCAGCAGTAACCTTAGATCATACAGGAATCTAAGGCAGTAACTACGTTATGAATATTGGCGCGTGCCTGAATTATTTTGGAGTCAAATTTGTCAATTCAATGTACTTCGAAACGGAACACTAGTAGTTGTGCCTTCTTGTTTCACATAATTATATTATAGGTAGACATCAAATCAATAAACATAGTGCTCTCGCCATAAGTATTTGCTGAACTTCGCTATGGGAAAAATGTTGAATAACTATATTGGGATGAAGAATGATCTATACAGGGTGTATCTAAATAACACCGAAATAATTCAAGGGATGATTCCTTGTGATATAATATGATCAATAAAGATCATACAAACATGTGTCCTAAACTTGCTTCGTTTTCGAGGTACAGGGTTACGTCCTGATTTCGAATCCGAAGTGATTTTCAACCTATCTTGCCTCCTAATATCATTTTCCGGAAATGTTGGTGGGTCCATGACCAGAGCAGTGTTTTTCACTGAAGATTACCTCACTTTTGGTCATAGTTGGTATATATACAGGGTGATTCAAAAGTAAGCGGCATCCTTTCAGAGGCGTATTCCTTGCTTGAAAATAAGGCAAAAAGTTCCTATTGATAAGGATCCGAAAATGCTTCCTAAGGGAGCTACGGCCCTTTGAATAGGACACCTCAAAGACGGTTTTTTCTCTATAACTTTAAAATCCTTCACAACAAATTTTTAAAAATTGGTGTACGGCATAAACATTCGATGGTAAATAGGACTCCGTATTCGAAATTTCAGAATTTCATTCAGGGGCGTCACATGCGGGAGAGGGTAAGTGTAAAAATATCCCTTCTTCTCCGGATATTCAGGTTACTGTGATTTCGTTTGGAAATTATTTCGAATACGGAGTCCTATTTACCATCGAATGTTTATGCCGTACACCAATTTTTAAAAATTTGTTGTGAAGGATTTTAAAGTTATAGAGAAAAAACCGTCTTTGAGGTGTCCTATTCAAAGGGCCGTAGCTCCCTTAGGAAGCATTTTCGGATCCTTATCAATAGGAACTTTTTGCCTTATTTTCATGCAAGGAATACGCCTCTGAAAGGATGCCGCTTACTTTTGAATCACCCTGTATATATCTATCGCTCCTTAAAATTGAACAGTTACGTTAGATAAACGGGTTGATATTCCATTATAGAAGTGACATGCACACTGTTTAAATTTTTAAATACATCCAGTGGGATTGAATTTTATTTAATGTTGAATATTAGAGTGTGTTTTTTTATGTGATATATTTGTTTTGTTTATTTCAAATATATATATTTTTTTAGTAGGCATACTATATAGTACTTCTTTTATATAATTCTGAAATCTGATCCCCCCTGTATTTGTTTCAATTAAATGGCATCAGTAGATAGTAAATAGAATGTTAGGATAGGGACACATGTAAGCCATTTTGACAAATCAATATAGGTATTGTATAGTTTCGATACAAAAAAAATCTCGATTTCCACATTCTACGTACCTTGAGCTTGATCAACGAAATCATATAGCTCAATTAGAAGAATCGAAAAATGTAATAAAATATAATGTGTTACAGTGACGGCTCGTGCCCTCAGAACCTGGGTCGGCCAGGGTATAGATATTGCTCTAGTTCATCAACTTAATTTTTTGGATTAAAATGAAAGAGAGAAATGCGAACCAAACACGTTGGGTGAGCGGCTTGAATGAAGTTCGATGGCAAATAAGCATGTACACATAACCAAAAAATTAAATTGTCCAGCAAGAACCACGAGGTTAGAGCATTCTCGCCAGGGGAAATGGGGAGAGGAAAAGGAGGTGGATGAGGGTTAGTTGGTATGAAGAGATAATAACAAGAAAGTCGAAGAAATAGAATAAAATAAAATAAAAATAAAATAACTCTTGAACAAAAAATATTTATATTCTGTTGAAAACGTAACGTAAACTCAAAAAAATCAACATAACTCTTAAACAAAAAATATATATTCTGTTGAAAACGTAACTTAAACTTGAGAACAAAACAACATAACTCTTAAAGAAGAAACAAAAATATATTCTCTTGAAAACGTAACGAAAACTGAAAAATTGTATTCTGCATTCAAGTTTAAATATTTATTCCTTTTTGAACATTAAATCAATTCTACGCGGTTTACTTAGAGCGAAATCGTCAATAATATTGTCATAAAAACTATCATCTTTCATCAAATCTTTAATCAGTCCTCGTTCTATGGCTAAAATCGATAAATTATTTAGACGCGATTGAGAGACCGTATTTCGACTATAGGATTTGATTCGTTTTAATGTTGAGAAGCTTCTTTCCACGGACGCTGATGTTGGTGGAAGAGACAATATCAAGCAAAATAATTCATACAATTCCGGAACATCCATCTGTATTTCATTTTTATAAATAAATTCTGTCATATCACCTATCTTTTGAGAACCACCAAAAATCGTTTTATCCGAATATAATATATAATAATACTACCTCTCTTACGTTAGCCATGCCTATTTTTATATTTTCTGCTCAATCTGAAGCCCGAATAATCAATATTTTCAACCGACAACCACCTCACCTACCTAACGCGAAAAGCACAACAATGACTGATCAGTAATCTGTCACGCCGTTCCTGTAACAAGCCACCCCACTGACCCCACTCCTTCGTAGTCGGCTGGCCGAGCCCGCGTGCAGGGTGCAGCCGTAGGTATAATGTTTCCCGCGATGCGATGGATGCATAAATATTATTTAGGTAGTTATAACCGCTACATGCGTCTTTGAAAATAAATGATATTCTGGAAGTTATACATTTATTACATTTTCGTCACCAGAGCTTTTTTACGATGTTTCAATACCTACTCAGCTCTTGGACTGCTGACATTTTTCTTGTCATATTACCTACATAGGCAGAGGCACAGTAGGTTACATTACAATATTCAAATTGAATTATAACTTATTGACGCTCAGAAGCACTGAAGGAAAATGCTGATTCCAATATTAGATGGATAATTATGTTGAATTATGAATTACTGAAAAATCGCAAATTCAAAAATCACCAGTCATTTTTACTGCAACTACTGCAAGCGTAAACAAAAACATGGAAATTATTCTTCTTTTCAGTTTGTACATTTCCAATTCCAACATCAACTTACAAATAAGTATAGGAATTAAAATTATAAATACCTACAATGTAAAATGAAAATAGAATGTCAATCATGCCAATCCGTATATTAAAAATTAGGTCGGAATGGTTCGATACGGTGCACAGCGAGCGCACTGCAAACAACTGATACTGATAAGTACGATCGATACGTTGGACGGCCAACAGAGCTTGGCCGCACCCAAGGTATGACGCGTATAAGCGAAAATTTAAACTTGAAGCGGGGAATCTGTAGGCGATGCCTGTGGCGATGCGTCGAGACAAGAAATCACCGATCGGCCGGCCGTCTGCATCAGTGTAATGAGCTACGCGAGCGGTTCAACGACGATAGGATTACCAGATGTCGTAGGTCCTGAATTAGTTCGTGATTTTCGGTGTATATGCGGATGGCATACTCAAAGGTTCCATGAATGAAATTCAAATAATAGTGGCTAGTGGCATAACAGTAGGATAATGAGCGATAAATTATGAAAACAGTTTCGGAAAATAATTTTATTCATCAAATAGTTCAGTAATTTTCCCCAAATTATTTGGTACGGCCCGGCCGACCCTGCCGTCCCTGACGAGCCGTCACTGATGTGTTACATTTTGAATAACAAAGCTGCTATACTACTATAATACTACTATATAAGTACTACATAACTACTAATAATAATTTCTAGTGAAGCAGATGAACATTATCGAAAATAATTTGAATAAAACGAGCGTCCTCGCCAACAAAACATAAGCATATAATATGTATATATAGTTTCATGATTTTCGATGAGTGGTTCGCTATTTACATCATGTAGGACTCGTCGTGACATAGCGAATTATTGCAAATCAAATCACCGCTTTCATTATCTGATAGGTCGCAGTAGATCATTTGATGCCTATCCGTGCCTATCAAATGTTTCTTATTTATTCGAAAAAAAAAATGTTGAAATGTGATCAAGAAAACTGTTGGTGGCCCACCCCGTACTACAAAAACAAAGACAGCATGAGAGAAGCTGCCTGCCCACTATCATGACAGAGCTGCTTACGTCTCGGTCTCCCCACCGCTTAGGTAACGATCGAGCGTGTTCGGTGAACACACGGGTATGATCTCGAGACTCTTGTACCACGAACCACGACCACGACACGCACACTAGTGAACACTGCACGTCAGCGTCACGTCAGCTAGAAGTAGTAACAGCTGATGTGCATAATATGGAGATATTATGTTAAAATATTTATTGATTATTACTATTATTATTAGGACATGTACTTGAAATTTCCATTTTCATTTTATTCAAATGTTGTGAATTATGTTGTTCATTTACTTGAATTATGAATTATAGTCCTATTGATAATATAAAAACGAAAAAGCTAAGAAGGGTAAGTTCATTTTGAATATGGTTTTCATATTTTCTTCACAATCTTCACTCTTTCAGCACTGGAATGGGCTATCGAAATGTCTGAGAAGTTCTGTCCTTAGTGTTATCATTATTACCACTTTAATTTGCATTTATTTTTACCTATTGCACCCAATAGTTACAATATCAAAGAATGGAACAGAAAAAAACGAAATTCCAAGTCAGCTCATGAAAAAGGATAGTTCAAATATCTTGAGGCCAGTATTTGGTGATGTACCTGGAGTTGATGGGGTAATAGAAGAGCCTAGTGATATAGACACACTTGAAAATAGCAATGATAGGAGCAATAATAATTATAGACATGAGTTGATTCCTGCAAACAGAAATCATAAATTTTCAGGTAAGCCATATGAATGAAATAATTCTATGAATTTATTCACTACAATGTCCATAGATCTGAACACACTCTAGATATATGCACTATTTTACCACTAATGAACCCATTTTTTCAATGCATCAACATGTGTTTCCTAACTATGTTAACATCTTCTGGTGAAGGATAAATCTTAATCAGTTTTAATCTTCTCCTGAAGATGCTAACATAGTTAACAATACATGTTTTGAAGTATCCCTTTGGTTAGTGGCAATACCAGAGGCTGGACCAGAGGTATAACATTGTAGTGGATTAAAATGCCAAAAGGTTCATCCAGTCTTCTTTATATTGTATTTATTTTCATATATCAATGTAAATGACATTTTATATGCATCATACATCTCACATCATGCTCACATCATACCAACCACCTGAAAATATGTCATGAGATACCAGGAATCCAGAATACTGTTGATAATTCTCAAGGAGTTTTCTAATCAATTTACATTGGAACTCATTAGTATTTATCTCAGTTTTTATCTAGGGTTTTCTCAAGGCTTTTATTGAGTGTTTAGGTAATGGAACCATAATTTGGTTGTGAGTACTTATACCTCCAGGCATACCTATTAGATATTTCAGACAGGTTTATGAATATTAATAGAAACTAAATACATAATTGCAGCAATATAATGTTCAGCCACTGCCTGGATAGGAATATGAAGATAACTCAATATAAGTATAAAATGGGAGATATCTACATTGCCTACACTTGACTCCACCCAGAATTACCCAATTTCTTTTGGAAAGAATAGTTCATGAATGTTTATCAAGGAGTGTATTGTATAAGTACATGATATAAAAACAAAATTATTATAAACTGATGTAAAAGAAGAGCAATTGATTAGGGATTGATAGGTACATTTTCAACATGATATTTTAATCAAGTTTGTTTGATATTGCCTCTTGCTTTCCAGATTGTCTTGGAAATTATGTTATGTAAAAATTCCCAGTGCTTTTCTTATTCTCCTTGTGAGTTAGATCAATGTCTATTGAAGATAATTATCCACTTCATCACATGATTCATTTTCTTTATAATTTACCTGTTATGAATATGAGAAATAATTATTATTATTTCAGCAGTCATTAGGTTTTTAGTTAATCTAAGGGCCAATTGATGCATCATTGTCTTTACCATAGTCTTAGTCACAGTTTTTTGTTTTTTGTTGATCATATATTCAAGTTAAGAGCATACATTTCAATGGGTTTATGCAACATTTTTAGTCTGTCTTGAGGATAATCATTAAATCATGACCTTGAAAGTTTCTTAATCTAGTTGCCATTCAGACAATAAATAGCTATTTATATATCAAGGGAGCAAAGTCATCCATTTCCTTCTGCATGTGAAGTATGATGCCCAACGCATATTTTTCCATTTAAAAAAATAATCGTTGACATCACCACAACTACGCTGATGACGTTACAAACTCCGTATGTATATCAAGAGGTGTCAATTTGAAAATAAAAATCGACCTGTCTCAGGATTTTTTTTTCAAATTCATATGCGTTAGAGATGATGAATCTATTCCATACATTTCCACCATACTGTATGTAATATTGTTATTACTAACGTCGTTGAAGGTTGGGAAGTGTCACATTACACACCTCTACTTCCCGCCCTCACTCAGTGTTGTTCCTGGGTCTGATTTTTTCGTAATAGATTTCCTTGGAAAAAGGTAACAGATTTGTATCAAAAGGTAATAGACTCGAGAAATCTGACATTTGACATTCTGAATGTCATTCTTGTCAAACCCTATCGCACAATTAGACAGTTCTGACAGGAATGAGACAGAAGTCACACAGAGCTTATGACATAAATATAGAACATAGACCCATAGAGCAGAACATAATTATCCGCTGAACACAGAAATAGATTTTTCAGTAACGAAACATCATATTTGGTGCTTACAGCAAATAGTAATAGATTCATAACAAATCGTAATATCGTAACAATCTCCGTGGAATTGAAATAGATCTATTACAAAAGTAATGACAAGAACAACACTGCCCTCACTTCCCGCCCCTCACTCATGTAATAATTCAGGTATGTTCAGAACGAAACATTTTATTAATTGTGATCGAAATATGATGGTTGTAAATAAAATAGTATCCAAACCTCGGTAGGGAGCTTCATTCTTGTCTCGAGATTATAGCTAACCTCGACGCTTTGCGTCTTGGTTAACTAACTAATCTCACGCCAGGAATGAATCACTTCCCACCTCGGTGTGTAATATACTATTCCTTCCTCATATTCGATTTCAGTGCTGTTTTTATTCAGGAAATTTCTTGTAGACTTGATTCCAGGAATTTCCTTCCTCCGTCTTTCGGCGGCTCCTCCGTTAGCAAGTTAGACTCTAGTTCATCCATCCTCATAATATGTTCATACTTCACACAAATCATTTACCGATTCTAAAAAGAGTACTGAAGGTACTCTTCAACCAAATATAAGGCATTTGTTAGCAGTATTGATCTGATAGCTGACATACAATTTTTCAAACTAGTCATATTTTTTATTCCATTGTTCAGTTTGTTATATAAGACTGAGCCCATATAATAAGGATTTGACTTGTACAATTCTAATCTATGGATATCATATTGTAAATTATACAGGGTCGCTGATATGTATGGAAATAGGTGAATATCTCGGTAACCTGTTGTTACATTTTTTTGAATTTATGTACAGTCTAATTTCAAAACGTGGCAGATTTGAAAATGTTATAGCCAATGTTGCCACTTTTTCAGTTATTCCGGTTTTTTCGTTATTTCCATATTTTGAATAAAATACCCTGTACTGTACTGTGATCAGAATTCTGAATCTTGAACCACCCTGCATTTGTTTCAATTAAATTTCAGTAGATAGTAGATCAAAAGTTAAGATAGGAATATTGGAGCGGTTTTGATCGATAATGAATAGTTTCGACACAAAAAAATCCTAAAGTTGAAAAATCTAGATTTTAAACACACTATACCTATGTAATCATTTCCGCTAGACCCCAAGTGTGATAGATCGATGGAATCAGCTCTTCAAGGAGAATTTGAAAATCCAATAAAGTACAGGGTGTTCCATTCAAAATAAGGAAGTTGATAAAAAATCCGGAATAACTGAAAAAGTGGCAACATTAGCTATAACATTTTCAAATCCGCCACGTTTTGAAATCACACAGTACATAAATTCAATAAAATCCAACAACAGGTTACCGAGATATTCACCTGTTTCTATACATATCAGCGACCCTGTATATTATAGTCGAATTGTATGTAAAAATCACCCTGTATATTAAGTCATGTTTTTTTGAGGATCGAACTGCCGTCGATTCTAATGTCTATGAGTGTATTTGTAACACACAACTAATGTTACTTGAATTATCTTAAGGTCCTACTACAGCAAGACAGAAAAGCGTTGTTAAGGCATTCAAACATGCTTGGAAAGGATACAAAAGGTTTGCATGGGGTCATGATCACCTGAAACCTATTTCCGAGACCTACCATGATTGGTTTGGTTTAGGACTGACTATTGTTGACTCCATTGACACAATTTACATAATGGGGCTCAAAGAAGGTTAGTGAAATGAATATTTTCGATACTCTAGTCTGAATAATTCATATTTCGAGGTTTGGAAAAGTCCTGATCATTAATCTCTTTGAACAAATACAACAAATTGTAACATGAATATCAAATGAAATAGATATTTTATATTGGAATACTAAGAATCAGTCTAAATCGATTAGGATCGATATGTTGAAAAATGTCTGATAATTTTTTTTTCAATGGGGGACTTTGCTCCAAGTTGCCAACCTTAAAACCTCTACCACTGTAGAAGCAATATTATAGAAGCTTGATTACTCAAATAGCTTTATTTTGGTGAAATCTGATTGTAGGAGTCCACTCAGCTTTCTAATGAAAGTTATTCAGAAGAAAATAGTTATATTTTTTTTTCTCCAAATTCGTCCAATTACACGCAAACTCCAAATAATCCATCATTTTGTGTTCACCCAACGTCAGTGTCAATTTTGATTACCAATTTGATTCGAATTATAACTTGGAACGTTGCATAGCAACAAACTTTTTCTGCCTAGGCAGTAAAAGTACACCTTTTCTGCCTGTTAAGTGTCTTTAAAAAGTCACTTTTATTGTCATTTGGAGAAAAATTAGAGTTTCAATAGTGTCAGTAGTGTCGATTCACGTTCGAACTTCGAATAATGATCAAGAAACTCTCATGAGAAACGTGCAAACCTATAATGAACTGGATGTGCGGGTTCCAAAGTTATCTGGTCTGGGGCTACTCTCGACTCGTCGAAATGGTAATCAATATAACATTGTTATTATGTCTTAATATTTATTGTTGTCCATTTATATTTCCTCACTACCCATAATAGCTCATGCTATAATAAATATTGTGATGTATGTTATTTTGATACTGTTGTAATCCGAAATTTGTGATATGTATCTCTATTATTGGAAACTAACCAGTTTGTATCCATGGTGAGCCGTATAAGGTTTACAAGTATTTATAGAATGTTTTGTTTTTCCTCTTATCTTTTTTTTACTAGGAAAATGCTTATCATCACCAGAGCTGGGCCGGGTACTGATAAATTGTACTCGAGTACCGGGTACTGTTTATAATTGAAGAACGAGTACAGAGTACCGAGTACCCCACTCATTGGATGTACTCAGAGTAAAGTACTCCGAGTACAAGTACCCGAATTTCACGGGTACTCATTTCAAGTACATTTGAATAGAGAATTGATAAATTTTGCATCAGTATTAGTTATTATCAACAATAATAATATCAACAACTTCAACAATTGTCTTATACAAATTATAAAATTGACCCATTCATTTCTTATTCATTACTAATACGTAAATTAAAGCAAAAATCAAACTACTTATTTGTCGTTGTTCACGTCTATACGTATCTCTATATAAGAGAAATATTATTGCAAAATACTATACCCTTACCTCTTAGTTTAGTGTGGTTTAGTCTTAAGAAAACAACAGAAACGATACAAAAAACACTTGACTCTATAACTGTTACACAGTGTACAAAACAAAAACTCCGCGTTTGGTTCTGATTGAAGAGCTGACTGATAATGATGATAATAATATAACATATAACAGCGGTTTCTCGTGTTGCAATCGCATATAATAATAATAATAATAATAATAATATCGTCTTTATTATTTTCTTTATTATTTTCTTCCTCTTCAACGGTGCACAGACAAGTTTATTCTTGCAAAAAGTACCCGGAAAATGTACTCGTTTAATAAACGCGGGTACCGGGTACTTTTCCCGAAATGCTACGGGTACCAGAACCGGGTACTATATTGAAAATGTACTCGGGTACTGGGTACTGAGTACACAAAATGCACTCAGAGTACAATATTTGAGTACTTGTACTCGAGTACTGCCCAGCTCTGATCATTACATAGTGTTTTTATTTATGATATCGACTGTGATTTCTTCGCTTCCACACAGTAATGGTTTTATCCATTTCAAGACACTTCCTAGGGTTATTTTTAATTTCAGGAAAAGGTTGAAACTCCATTATTTCATTCTTACGAAGTCATGTCTGGATCGATTTTTAGCACTCAAATGAAATATATTCCTACTTCCTACTGCAACGATCAAACTTATTTACCAAAGAATGATAAATAGTGTTGTTCATAAATAAAATAATCTTGAATGTATAAAAAAAGTGACAAGTAATAAAATTGACGACGATATGACACAAAGCAGGTGCATCAACATAATTTTCAACTAATCAGAACTGGAGTTCACAAAAATTAATGTTTTTTCTGAAATTAGAGAGCTGAGCAGACTCCTACAATCAGATTTCATCAAAATAAAGCTATTCGAGTAATAAAACTTCCATAATGTTGCTTCTTGGAGCAAAATCCCCCATTCTTGTCGCAATGGTACTAGGCCAAGGAAAGTTTTTGCTTAGTGAGAAAGAGCTTCTTCAGCAGTATAAATTTGAAGAAAAAAGTTGCAAATTAGTCACGGGATGAGAAAATACTGGACAGGGGTGGAACAAATTGAATCAAAATCTACATACTATATGATAGTTACAAATGATTTTCTCGTAGAGTATGAAGAGGCTAGAGATTGGATTGAGAAACACCTGCATTTCGATGTTAATCGAGATGTAAACCTGTTCGAAGTCACAATAAGAGTCTTAGGCGGTCTACTTAGTATTCACCATTTCACAAAGGATACAATGTTTCTGACCAAAGCAGTGAGTACATATTTTCTCATTGTCCTATCCTCGAAATCGATCACTTGTTGGATTGTTTCAAAGAAATATACCGGGTGTTTGAATGAAATTCGATTAGATGCATGGGTATCTCGGAAACGGTAAGAGCTACAAAGGAGGTTAAATGGGTGCAAAGTTGCGCAATTCTATGACTAACGATTGGAAAGAACCGAATATTCGTGATTTCATTTTATTTTTTTTACTTTGAATAGTAAAAATAGATTGTTTTTTTAGGATCAGAAGTGACACTTTGTTTGACAAGTGAATTGTGCATTTGCAAGGCGGAGCGTTTAGCGAAGCCGAGCTAAAGTTGAACTTTAGTCCCTAGGAGCTAAAGTTCAACTTCAGCTCCTAGGAACAAAGGGATTCACTGGACGTCATCAAGGATAAACAACATTGTTACGTACTGTCTGTAGGTTAATCGAGGAGGTGGTACATTCATTATTCCAAATTTTTTGGGATTTTCTCTCCTCGTTTCTATAAAATAAAAATATGAATATTATTTCAATATACCTGTAGTAAGGACAAATCAGATGATTTGCCCCAAAATGTCACTGCGTTTAAAGAATTTTCCTATCAGAGAGCCTAAAAGAAAAATTCACTAGCTTGTCAGTGACAATTTGTATTGAAAAAATTTTTGGAGAAGGGAAATAAAGGTATATAGAAAAAATATCAAATTTTCACTTATCTTTGGACGTTTCGGGACCGGTTCTGCTCCCGTTTTCAACATGAGAAGAGATTATTTCAATAGCGAAGTCGTATAATGTCTTGAAGCTTTTCAGTTTTCAATGACAATTTGTGACGTTGGCAATCAAATGAGTTACATGATGTTTTCATTAATTGATCTTGAATTTACCATTTTCATGTTCAGATTTTAGTAGTGAATACCATGTTCTGTCTATATCAACTGAACAAGAAGCAATGCTATTGTCTCCGTTCAGAAGAATGCAAGCAGATTCCTTGATTTTTCTCTTCTGGTTGTTATCTTCTTTTCCAATAATTTTAATATTATTCCACTCTGCCATATGTTGTCCGTCTTCAGTAAGGATATGTTCAGCTAGTTTCGATTTATCGATGTTTCTTTTCTTTATATTGTACGGTCCATACACAAATATGTCACTCTGTGGTTGTATTTATATTGAAACTACAATTCTTTGAAAATTATCCGCACCACACGGATTATTTGTTGCATTACATACATATGGCACGGCACATATTTATTTGAGTTCATCGTTTCGGTTGCACAAAAAAAGAGATGTTTCGTTCGGATCAAAAGTGACTTTGTTTGACTCGCAAATTTTGCTTTCGCTCGGCTTTGCTAATCGCTCCACCTCGCAAATGCAAAATTCGCTTGTCAAACAAAATGTCACTTGATCCTAGTAAAACAATCTACTATTATTATTGATGACCTCTCGTACATCATTTAGCTCCTAGGAACTTGTGTCAGTAATAGAAACGCCAATTGAGCTAATTTTGGTGTCGGTTGCAGAAAAAACAAATTACACATTCTCATTGTTACTTTTTCTGTCCTACAAGATGGCGTTATCAGATTTTCAAGCCGACGTTTGGTCTTTGAGCTGCCATCATCAACTTCGTTTTTTAAATGCATTTTAATAGCTTTTGATCTCCTTGAATTGGTGTAACGCATATTCATATCAATGGCATTTTCCATAAGAACTCATCCATTAGAGAGAGGCCCAGAATAGATTTTTAATAGGATAAAAAGCGCATTTTTCGAATAAGTGCACCGTTGACATCAAAAGTTCTTAAAATCCATGATAAAAAACAAAGTTGATGATGGCAGCTCAAAGACGAAACGTCGGTTTGAAAATGATATCACCATCTTATTGTAGAAAAAAAGTAGCAATGAGTCAGAAAGAAGTAAAAATGAAATCAAGAATATCATCATTTTTCCAAAAATGTTCGGGAGTATGTGGAATTTTTCTAATTTTGAAACGGCATTTTGTTAGGCATGAAATTGTGCAACTTTGCTTCCATTTAACCCTCTTTGTAGCTCTTACCATTTCAGAGATCCCATACATCAGAAATGCCTAAATCTTCCGAACCATTTCCATCACGTGATATGTTGAGATTCCTGTTTTTTGATGATTATTTTTCGCAAAATTGTGGAGGCTGAGTTTGGTCACGGAGTTTCATTCTGGTCCACCACTAGCATGGAGTCAGCCCACTGTGATTATTTGTGTAGTGATTTAGGCTTTCAAGGACGTTTTTCCTTCCTCTCGAGACCCTTATGGTCTTTTCTACAAGCGAATGCGCATGCGTCCATAATATATCACGTGATTCACAGTGACCAATCTGGTAATGAGGTTTGGGAATGGTTCAAAAACTTTAGGCTCTTGTCATACATCTACTCGAATTTCACTCACCATGTGTACCAATTCATTCTAGTTCACTATCACAAACCGATATTTCATAATTGATTTTACATTTTCAAAAATAGATGTGATGAATGAGAAATAAGAAATATTATAAGAAACACCTTTTGATTTTTTTATTTTTCGTTTCAGTACTCAAAAAGTTGATGAAGTTTCCCAGAGGAAGATTTCACATGATCTGAATCGAATTAATAACTTTCTAGCACTTATACACTTCACACTTTGTTATCTACCAAAGACAGAGCAATACATTCTTTTATGGTTCAGAAGTTTAGATATGAAAATTTTAATTTACTATTTCAGGTTAGGTTGGGTTTTTATTCTTTCTGACTATCGTACACTTATGTCAAGTTTACAAAATTGTTTGGGTTATCAAGAAATATCAATGATAGAATAAGATATCATTTTTAGTCCACAGGCTAGAATTTGAATTTCATGAAAATCCAGTAATTAGGTAATTGAACGAGACTATATTGTCATTTGTGATAAGACAATATTAATATTGATTCCGTGAGGATATTTGTCTGGTAGTTTATGGTGAATATTAGTTTTTGTACTTAATCAAATTTTCAGATCGATTTGGCAGATAGACTTCTTCCATGTTTCGAATCTGAATCTGGTATTCCTTATTCAGACATCAATTTGTCTACAAGACAGTCCCACGCACCAAAATGGTCGCCAGACAGTAGCACATCTGAAGTTACTACAATACAACTAGAATTTAGAGACCTGAGTAGGATCACAGGAGATCCCAAATATGAGGTAGGATTATAAAAAAATAATCCAGTGAAATGTATTGTGCATCCTGAAGTGATATTATTCAATGATTGTGGAAAATCTATATTAGAGAGAGAGAGAGAGAGAGAGAATAATCTTTATTGTCTAAAATTTATTACATTTCGTTGACAAAGGTATATCATATATATAAAAAACGAACAATTGAAAAAAAAAAGACTAAAAGAATATTTACATAAAGGGTATAACACAGTACGGTACAAACATGTTTTCACAACTACAGTTTATCAAAATCTTGATATAGATCGTAACATTTATATAGAAAAACTAGAAATTATATGCACAATACTCTTCCAAACTATAGAAGCACTTTCCCATCACAATGTTTTTTACCGATTTCCTCAATAGCTTCTGATCATTGATTGCTGTTATTGGTATCATCTCCTTTCGTGTATCTCTTTCTGCTCGATTCAAGAACTTTTCTTTATGTTTGTGAAGCAAGCAAACAGTCTCTATAATAAAAATTTCGAATATTGTTAGTATTTTATATTTGCAGAAAATTGGCCTACAGGAGTCGCGAATCCTCTTTTTGATTATTATTCTCATAGCTCTTTTTTTAATGACGAATATACTTTGCAAAAAAACCTGGCAGGCAGAGCCCCAAAATGGAATTCCATACCTAAGACTCCATAAGTAAATAGTATGCGGCCATTGAAGCTGAAAATCCGAGTTCACAAGATATGACATTCACGGCAAAGCAACCAGTCAAACTTTAAATTACTATCAATAATTATACCGAGGAATTTCGTTACAAGCTTACTTTCAACCGTCTGACAACCTAAAGTTACCTGATCCAAATCCCACTTGAATGTGACCAGATTTGTTTTAGAAAGATTCAGCGACAACGTATTCGATTCACACCAATTTTTTATTTTTTCTAAATCAGAGTGTATAGTTCAAGTCAAAGTAGCCGGATCTCCATTACGCCAAAATACGCCAAATAAGGTGAATGTTCCAGATATATCCAATTTAGCCAGATCGTTAACATACAGCAAGAATAAAATTGGGCCCAAGACTGACTTTTGAGGAACTCCGATTACTATTTTTCCACTTTCGGAAGTATTATTGTTCAAAGATATTTTTTGGCTTCTACCAGTAAGATAAGATCTGAACCATTCTAATGTTGTTCCCCGAAATCCATAATGGAAAAGTTTCTGCAGGAGGATCTCATGACACACACAATTAAAAATATAGAAAAGGTGTATAAGTTTTTCCTATCAGAAATGGCTTGCAGAGTTTCAGAGCAATGTGAGTGAATTTATAGAATTCATTCAAACTGAAATCTGCTATGAAACGGCAGAACAATAACATGTTGAGGGAAATTCGACCGATTTCCTGTTTATCGAGAGTCGAGGTGGAAATAATAGATATTATATGATAAGATGACATATGGTGCAGGAATTTTACAAGTTATATGAATTTAAAAAACATCTTGAATGACCTTTTCATGAAGTTTCTTAGAAAGCATATTGTCTATCAAATCAACATCATAACGTTGTTGACTGCAATCTGTTTTATGAAATTGAGTTCTTTATTGAACTTTTCCTCTGAGAAAGGACATTAACTAGCCTCATCATACAGTTTTATGCTATGATATATTGATAACAGTGACTTGATTCATAGAAGGGAGGTTTATGATTGACACTACAACATCGTAAACAATGATTGAACCTGTTGAACCTGAATTTAACTAATTATTACAGTGGGAAGTGATGAAAAACATATACTACAACCCTGTTAACCATTCATCAACATTTCTGCTCTCAATTATTGCTGTAGAGTATAGAGTTAACAACATTTTCGGTTAACTTGCAGGTTTATCAAACTGTTTATTACCTCTTTTAGATTGCCGTCGAAAAGGTGTCGATGATAATTCACAAGCTGGAGAAGAAAGACGGACTGGTTCCTATTTTCATCAATGCAAATACTGGTCAATTCAGGTCTTATGCCACCATAACTCTGGGGGCACGCGGCGATAGCTACTATGAATATTTACTTAAACAGTGGATCCAAACGGGTAAAGCAATAGATTAGTGAGTATCAAGAATTTCCCTCTTTAAAAATTCAAGTGAACTTATCCCAACGACCTAACCTACCATCTAGACCGCTAATGCCATAAAACAAAAAATTCATCTATTGAAGAAATCGAACTGGATCTTATAGAGTCAATCAAATTGTAACTCAGTTTTCTTAACTTTACAGAAGTGCAATTCGAAGATTTTCAACATCTTAATTCGCTAATAACTCGGAGATTTGTTCATGAAAGATAATTGTTTTTTTATTTATCAGCGAAAGAACTAGAACTAGTTGTAATGATATGGTGAGATTATGAAAAAGCATCGCTAAAAACGGAGAAAAAAATATGTTTGTGAGATACGTCACTACGTGAGATCATGTTGGTCAATGTGGCCTTAGATACGCCATGAACATAAAGTGAATTCAAATGAATATCAGATCCTAATATTCATTTTTATTGATAAAAAACACGGAAATTCATTCGACATGTAATAAAAATATATCACGTACTGACGTAACTCCCATAGTTAGGTCACTTCGTGAGATTTGGTAGTGGAATAATTTGAGATAGGCTGAGTATTCGATATTTAATTTTAATTACAGGAAAACCATTGAATATTGAGCTACGCCACTTTGTTAGATCATAGAGTATAAAAATATTAGTCATTTGACGAGAATGATGTAAATAAACAATGGAATGCTTTCATTGACACATATTTGAAAATATTTTATGAGTGTTTTCCATTAAAACTGGTTCAAGAGGAACACACAAAAGCTGTGCGATATGATACAGAAACGGAAGAATATAGAGAAAAACTGAATACAATGCTTCTCCTATCAAAAAACTCTGCTCACCTTTACCACCCATGTGTTTTCGAAATAATCAATAAAGTCTTCATTTACTACCGTGGACAGATGTTCTCTCACTATCAAGTCGAAGCCTCTGGAAATTAAAGCAACTGGTACGAAAGCTAACGCTTCCAGCATCTTGATTTTCAAATTAAAATAATAGAATAATGCTCTTCCATAAGTATTCGCGAGAATCACGAAGTGTGTGGCCTCTGGTGGCTAAGTTTACAAGTCTTGCGAGTATGAACAACAACGACAACAAATATAGCGACCATTGTTTTGAGTATCATGATAATGTGTTTTATTCGAAAATTATTTATTTGCTGAAGTGCATATTCCAGAACATCATTTTCCCTAATGGAAGAACTCGAATTATTGCATGAACTTTTATTATTTACAATGAATAAACCAGTACCTACCTTGAATGAAATACATTTTATGAAGCACAATTAAAATCATTATATAAATGTTGGTTGCAATGATTCGATCTTGAAAATAACTTCAAGTCCTCAATTGCTGGGTATCATTGTTCATGTAAATCGATGATATTGTTCATTTTTCGCAGTCTCCAACCATATCTTCCTTTGCAACCCCTTCACTAGAATTCAATTCACATTCATAACATCAAGTGATATTTCTTGATGGATTCAATTATTTCTGCATACATATACCATATTGTTGTGATAGCTGATTTCTTATGGTTCCATTCCAATCCATGCCAGTGGCGGCTCGTGACTTTGATGACAGAGGAGGCTGAATGATATAAGATTTATTGTGAAAAACAACTCCCTACTCACCCAAATCAATAGCTTTAATGACTGTTTACCAGTTAACCTGAACTTAATACTTGAAGAAATGTGTTCCTGTGATTCGCAGTGTCTATCCGATCCGCGAGCCAAATTTTTCAAATCATTATATCCTAATCGCCCCCAACATGATGACATCGGTTGAGAATAATACGCAGTACCAACAAAATAGCTTATTCCTTACGTCAGATTCCGTCAGCCAGATATATTTTTTATAATTATCAGAATCGAACGAACGAGTTTGTTTATTACCTGTTAAAATCAGATTTTGTAATTCCGGTGTCGGACGTTTGTTTTTCACAATCAATTTATCTTCATAAGACAAAGCACTGAATGGGTTCACCAAAAAGTATTCCACTAAATTGCAATCGTTTAAAACACTCATTTTTCAGAAATTCATAGAACCCCTAACCATTAACCCAACATAAACAAAAACAATGCCCGCAATTCGCGACGCGACACGACAAACACGTGCTATTCGGGCGTATTGGGGTATTCCCATTGCGCGAGTGGGTTGCGCTCAAGGTTGCGCTTGCGCATTGTGAAAGGAGTCTAGCCTCCTATAGATGTTGCCAAGTTGAATATTTTACGCGTGATTTGAAGACACTTCAACGTGTGATGCGTGGGCAAGCACTGTTGCCAATTCAAAAATATTAACCTAAAAACAGGAAATAAAATCAAAATCCATGTATTTTGGTGTCCTTTTAATGAGAAAGTATAGATAATATCAGTTCAGGGAAAATCTCTGAGGAGGCTCAGCCTCCGTTGCCTCCTCTGAGGAGCCGCCACTGATCCATGCAAGTGCTGAGTGGAACCTTCCGACCATTCCTTATGATGTTTGAGAATATAGTGGAATTTTAATGTGATATGATGAATACCACCATTGTTCACATCAAAATGGCAGTTTCTCTGCCCAAAAAGTTATTTTTTCCATACTGGAAAGTGGAAACCTTGAACGTCAATTATGAAGATTTCACGAAGTCAAATTATTATTTACTATTATGCAAAATGATTTCAAAATCAACAATTTGCAATGGATACATACGGCAATGTTTTTGTTGTTCATACTCAGTTTGAAATTTGACGTTGATTTGACGTTTAATAGCGTCATCTATTGGTTCGTGATTTTCGCAAATAGAGTTTTTTTTGCAAACACTTTTTGAGGCGTCGCTATTGACGGACGTGAATAATGTCGGTATTTGTTTAGATAAGTTAGCTAGAAATGTAGATTGTTGAGAAAAAAACAGTTTTTCGTAATGAAGAAATGAACGTTTTCGAGAAAACGGCCCTTCGAAATGAATGATTTTGAAAATACAACCTTTCGAAAAGTTGTTTCTAGAAAAAAGTGACCTTCGAAAGGAAGGATTTTCGAAAAATTGTTTTTCGAAAAAATGCGTGGCGAAGCTTCAGTTCATTCGTTCCGTTCCAGCTTAAAGGACGACTATCTCGAGAGCATAGCGGGCGTCGAGAAGCACCTCCTCCGGCGTACCGTGCCGAACGGCCTCGCCTTCGTGGGCGAGCTGCCAGGTGGCCGCGGCGAACTCAAGCCCAAGATGGACCACCTGACGTGCTACCTACCGGGCGCTTTGGCGCTGGGCACTCGCCACGGCCTGCCCGAGCGCCATCTGCGGCTGGCCGAGGAACTGGCCGCGACCTGCTACCAGACCTACGCGCAACAGCCGACGTTTTTGGCGCCCGAGATCACCTACTTCAACTTGCAGGTCGGTAAATAATAATGAATCTCGAAAAAGTGTAAACCAACGATTATTCTGAACGTTTAACACGCTAAACTACTTTCGAAAAGACGGCTCGTTTCGTTATTGAAACTCGAGGAAATAATATAAATTATTCTTTAATGAATTCTAAACCAACAAAGCTTCTGGCTCCGACGGAATCCCACCGATTGTTCTCAAGAAATGTGCTCCCGAACTAACACCTGTTCTCTGCAAGTTGTTCAACTACTCTTACGAATTGGGGATATTCCCGTCCAACTGGAAAATTGTACAACCAGTTCTTAAATAAGGCAAAAAGACCCTACCTAGCAGCAAACTACAGACCGATCGCACTTCTATCTATTATTCCAAAGATCATGGAGAAACCTATCAACAACGAGCTCATGAAATACCTGGAACATTCAGGTATTATCAACGATAGGCAATATGGCTTCCGTCATCAGAGATCTACTGGTGACCTGCTCGCTTACGTCTCACATATATGGCAGCAATCTATTGAAAAATATGGTGAAACCTTAGCCGTGGCACTTGATATCTCCAAAGCATTCGATCGAGTCTGGCACCACGGACTCCTCGCCAAGCTACCATCTTATGGCTTGCCTCCCCAGCTATGTTCCCTGCTAGCTAGTTTTCTCTTAAACAGATCTCTCTATGTAGTGGTCGACGGTTTTTCATCTGACTCTCTTACCATAAATGCTGGTGTTCCGCAAGGATCAATTCTAGCACCAACACTATTTCTACTCCATATCAACGATTTGTTGGAAGCAACTTCTTGCCCAGTACACAGCTTTGCAAATGATAGTACCCTCCATACCGCCTTCTCTTCCAGGGCTCTAATACCAGCCAGGCAAATCCGAAACGAACAAGGGAGAAATGTTGACAACATAAATATAGAGTGGCGACACAAGCATGCCTTTCCTCTAGAAAAGCCGATCTCACTGTGCCCAATATGAGCTTGTCAGGAGTAACCATACCTTTGAAGACATCCATTTCGATGATTGGCATTACTAACAGCAATGACCTTTCTTGGGAAAGTCACGTGAGATCAATTGCTAAAAGTGCATCCCAAAACCTTGGTTTTCTGTTTCGGTCCAGGAGCTATTTCACTTCCAGTCAGCTGCTTATTGATCCGATCTGTCCGGGAATACTATTCCCATATTTGGAGTGCAGCACCCAAACATACCCTGAAACTGTTGTATTCTGTCCAAAAAAGGACAATTTTTCTCGTGGGTGATGCCTCGCTCACAAACTCACTCACTTCTCTGGAACACAGTAGAAAAGTTGGCGATCTGGCTCTATTTTATAGCTATTTTCATGAACGATGCTCTTCTGAAATATCAACAATAATTGTTCCTTCCTTGGCAGTCCCCGCGAGATTAACCCGTCGAGTTGAGGCTTCGCACCCCTTCGTGGTCACTTTGGAGACCTCCTGAACATCTATTTCCAAAGACTCGTTTATCCAAGGAACAGCGAGACTCTGGAACACATTGGCATTGGCATAGAATCTCCAGAAATTCAAGAAGAACACCAATGCCTACCTTATTTCCCTTGGTTCTCACGATGTTCTCTGAACATTACAGGATATCCCTTTTTGTCGGAACCAGAACATAAAAAAACTTCACTGTGTAAGGTCTAAAAATGAATTTGATATTTTCAATGGTTCAACCAAGATTTTCATCAATGAAAACATGCGTCCAAGCTAGAACGTCGTTGGCCACAGGATGGAAAAGATGATGGAAGATGAATGAAAGACGTTGAAAGATGATGAAAAATAGTGAAAGATGGTAAAAAATAATGGAATACAATAAAGGATGAAGAGAGATGATGAACATTGGTGAAAGATGATAAAGATGATGAAAGATGATGAGCAGCCGTTGGTTATAGAAAATGCAAAAAAAGTCAAGATCTGTTTCAAACAACTCTTTTCCTTTACTTAATTTTATTCTTACTATTGGTACAATATGAAATGAATATATTTATTTAATCAATATTCCATGGCAAAATATGTAGATTTTACATGATTCAATAAATAAATAAATTAATAAATAAGGAAGGAGACTACTTTTTCTAAACAATCTTACAACTTAACTCGGCTTTAATGAATCTTCTTTCTAGAAAGTATATTTTTCAACATTGATCAGATTTGACAAGGCATCGTTTGTGTGTTCGAAGACTGTGACTGAACCGAAATACGAACCTTAAGAAATATGGGTGAATCGAAATGTGTACTAATCGAGACGAGGATGAATTGAAATTTTGGCCTTAGCAGTTATTTTCCTTTGTTCCAGGCCGAAAAATCCCAAGACATGTACGTGAAATCGAACGACGCACACAACCTACTCCGTCCGGAGTTCATCGAGAGCCTCTGGTACTTGTACCAGATAACGAACAACTCCACCTACCAGGACTGGGGCTGGCGCATATTCGAGGCCTTCGAGAAGTACACGAGAGTTGTGAACGGCTACACTTCCATTGGGAACGTGAAGAACACTGCCATGGTCAGACCCAAAGACATGATGGAGTCGTTTTTCCTCAGCGAAACGCTGAAATATTTGTATTTGCTGTTCAGCGACGATCCCAAGTTGATAGACTTGGAAGAGTATGTTGTCAATACTGAGGCTCATCCGCTGCCCATTATGTACTCAAATAATTGATTTTATGTTGGTTTTTTTCTTAATGAAATCTAGTCCTTTTACTTTTGATCACGGTAAAATAAATAAGTCCAATTTGATTTTCAAACACTTTCATTCAACTTCACTTGCCCTACTTCCAACTCGATTTTTATCGTTCAAGATGACGGACGATTTCGTAAAATCTTGTCCGAACCGCCTGAAAATGTTTACTCGACATTGCCAAGATAAAAATTACGAATGTCTTGTGTTAATTCAAGTTGACGCCACCAACATGAAGAACAGTTATACGAACTTCTCTAAGAATTGAAAACCTAGGCTCAATATTTGAATCCTGAGTAGTTGAGTGTGGCGCTTTCAGAATGTCGCAGATTTCGTGATTTCTTCTCAAATCCTTCTACAAATATACACCTGTGGCCTTTTCAAGTCGTGGATTCAGAAACTCAAGATGGCACTGCCAAGATGGACGATTATGTCATTTCTTGTCCGATTCGCTTGAAAGTGTACTTGGATAGAATTAATTAAATATTATGACAGTGATAAAAGCATTCTCCTAATCAACTATCTTGTTCGACGTGAACGTCTACACTTCTACAGGAAACGTCAAGAAAATTCCATGGTCAGACCCAAAAACATGATGGAGTCGTTTTTCCTCAGCGAGACGCTGAAATATTTGTATTTGCTTTTCAGCGACGATCCCAAGTTGGTAGACTTGGAAGAGTATGTTGTCAATACTGAGGCTCATCCACTGCCCATTACGTAGTCCAATTGATTTCATGTTGGTTTTTTCTTAATGAAATCTAGTTCTTTCACATTTGATCACGGTAAAATAAATAAGTCCAATTTGGTTTTCAAACTCTTTTATTTGACTTCATTTCTTCTTACAACTCTATCTTTATCCTTCTTCAAGATGGCCGACGATTTCGTAAATTCTTGGCCGAACCGCCTGAAAATGTTTACTCGACATTGCAATGATAAAAAATTACGAATTTCGTGTGGAAATTCAAGAATTCTAGATGACGCCACCAACATAAAGAAACCTAAGGTCAGTAAGTTCAGTAGTTGAGTGTGGCGCTCTCAGAATGTCGTAGATTTCGTCATTTATTGTTAAATCTTCCTACTTCCAACTCGATTTTTATCTTTCCAGATGACGGACGATTTCGTAAAATCCTTGTCCGAACCTCCTGAAAATGTTTACTCGACATTTCCAATATAAAATCATTACAAATTTCGTGTAGAAATTGAAGATGACGCCACCAACATGAAGAACAGTTACTCACTTCTCCAAAAATTGAAAACTTAAGTTGAATATTTAACTGTTGAGTCGTTGGGTGCGGCGCTTTCAGAATGTCGCAGACTTCGTGATTTCTTCTTAAATCCTTCTAAAAATATACACGTGTGGCCTTTTCAAGTCGTGGATTCAGAAACTCAAGATGGACGATTGTCATTTCTTGTCCGATTCGCTTTTTGAAAGTGTACTTGGGGTTCGTTTATGAATTTTTGATAGAATTAATTAAATATTATGACAGTGATGAAAGGATACTCCTCATCAACTAGCTTGTTCGAAGTGAACGTCTACACTTCTACAAGAAACGTCAAGAACACTGCCATGGTCAGACCCAGAGACATATGATGGAGTCGTTGTTCCTCAGCGAAACGCTGAAATATTTGTATTTGCTGTTCAGCGACGATCCCAAGTTGGTAGACTTGGAAGAGTCTGTTGTCAATACTGAGGCTCATCCGCTGCCCATTATGTACTCAAATAATTGATTTTATGTTAATTTTTTTCTTCATGAAATCTAGTCCTTTTACTTTTGATCACGGTAAAATAAATAAGTCCAATTTGATTTTCAAACACTTTCATTTAACTTCACTTGCCCTTCTTCCAACTCCATTTTTATTTATTTATTCATGTTTACTTGACATTGCCAAGATAAAAATTACGAATTTTTTGTGTAAATTCAAGTTGACGCCACCAACATGAAGAACAGTTACTCACTTCTCTAAGAATTGAAAACCTATGCTCAATATTTGAATGCTGAGTAGTTGAGTGTGGCGCTTTCAGAATGTCGCAGATTTCGTGATTTCTTCTTAAATCCGTCTAAAAATATTCACTTGTGGGCTTTTCGAGTCGTGAATTCAAACTCAAGATGGCACTGCCAAGATGGACGATCATGTCATTCCTTGTCCGATTCGCTCGAAAGTTTACTTATATTGGGGTGCGTTTATGAATCGACGTGAAACGTCTACACTTCTACAGGAAACGTCAAGAAAATTCCATGGTCAGACCCAAAGACATGATGGAATCGTTTTTCCTCAGCGAAACGCTGAAATATTTGTATTTGCTCTTAAGCGATGATCCCAAATTGGTAGACTTGGAAGAGTATGTTGTTAATACTGAGGCTCATCCGCTGCCCCTTGCCTAGTCCAATTGATTTTATGTTGTTTTTTTCTTAATGAAATCTAGTCCTTTTACTTCGTGTGGAAATTCAAGAATTCAGGATGATGCCACCAACATATATTGTCACAAATGAGGAGATATTGAAGTTAAATTACAAAAATTCTTATAAAATCATATTGGTTCGAAGTCATTGAACGTTCACGTATCTGTTTATTATTTCCAAAATTATTGAACCACGAACTTTCGATTAATAGTTGAACCTAAACACAGGCGTGACAATGACTTCAAACCATCCACCTGACTTCCTCACTGTCACGTTTCCAAAATATAGATTAAATATATAAAAGGCGTGAGGAAGCCAGCACAGGCATCATTCCGATCATTTTCGATTATTCGATCAGTTCGATCATTCCGATAATTCTCGATCAGTTCGATCAGTTTCAATCATTTGCCACTGTGCCCGAATCTTCGGAGTTCGGGCAGAAGAAGATGCCCTTCCTCAGGCTCCCAGAAATACCAGTTAATTTGTATATATAGGGTAAGTTATGTTTTAGTAATTGTTAATCACAAAACCAAGAATAAATGTGTGTATATGTGTTGTTTGAAAACCCTTTTGTATTATTTATTATTATCACTTTTGAAGTTCATTCTCTAATGGATCTAGAACACAACGTAGGCAACCCCCGCCTACAGTTTGTGACAATATAATGAAAGATATGTCACTTCTTCGAGAATTGAAAAAGTGTCAGGAACATAAGTGACTATGGGTATTTGATTTCAATAATCAGATTATATGGTATTTTTTATCTATGGAAACTTTTGTGCTTCGATTGGTTTAAAACTGACTTTATTCAAATTCCACCAATAGCAAAGTCTAATTACCATTCTGAATGTTTTCATATAACTGATGGAAGATACAGATTACTATTATATTCAAGATGATTTCATTGTTTCTTAAATTGTTCAATGCCTGGACGTATCTGATACGTCCTACAGCAGACGTATTCAAGACGTCCATTCCTGTTCATCTCTGAGACGTACTGATACAAACGTCTCAAAGACGCACATTTTATGCCTGTGGAAATTCATTACCAAAGATTCAAATCCATTGTTCTCACTAAAAATGTCAGCATTAACTATTCTTTTTAAATCAGAATTCAATATACAGGGTGAGTCATGAGGAACTGTACATACTCTTACCACACGAATAGAGCCCCTTTAGGGAAATGTCTATTGACCATCAGAAAGTGTCTTCTCTTCTTCCTTAGGGTGAATTATAATGTGATTTGGCAAAAACATCTTTTGGGCATAAATTTTGAATAGCTCCTTATTGGGTTCCTCTGATTTCTCCATAGAATATTCGTCTACTAAACCCTTACCGACTGACATTTCCAGAATCGGAAAAATCCAAGACCGTTTTTAAAAATATCGTTAGTTCAGTTTTCATCAAAAAGTTCATCCTGTATATGGTTTTTGTAAATTTTGACAGGGAATTTTCAAAGCACACAAACAAGCATCAAAAATAAAATATTCAAAATTCTCCTCACAGTTTCACAGAACTTTTCAAAAAAGATAAATTCATTTAAGGCAAAAACGAAAGTCTGACAACATTTATTAATTCGAGAATAATTACTTCGCAACGCATAAATTTCACAAATAAGAATACAATTCACATTTTCAATGCTTCAGCCCAATGGAAATCAACATGTTCTTTCATTTCCAGGCCTGGATTTCGTTATTTCATTTTTTGTGGAGGGTAATAATCACCCTGTAAACCATTTTCAAATCAGAGGAAGGGGTATCTCTTTAGATGTTAATATGGCCATCGATTCAAATAATTCAAGATAGTCGAACAGAAAATAAAGGTTTCTTCACAATTATCATTAAAAAGCTATACTGACAAAGGCAGATCATAATTCTAGTATGGAAAATAAGTGACCAAATTAGCTGAATGAAAGGAATCGAATAGAAAATACTGTGAATTGAAATCATAAGATTATCTATAGGGATGGTCATCAACATTTTCACAGATACATCATCCACTGATTTGAGGCAAAAACGAAAGTCTGACAACATTTATTAATTCGAGAATAATTACTTTGCAACGCATAAATTTCACAAATAAGAATACAATTCACATTTTCAATGCTTTAGCCCAATGGAAATCAACATGTTCTTTCATTTCCAGGCCTGGATTTCGTTATTTAATTTTTTGTGGAGGGTAATAATCACCCTGTAAACCATTTTCAAATCAGAGGAAGGGGTATCTGTTTAGATGTTAATGGTCATCGATTCAAATAATTCAAGATAGTCGAACAGAAAATAAAGGTTTCTTCACAATTATCATTAAAAAGCTATACTGACAAGGGTAGATCATACTTCTAGTACGGAAAATAAGTGACCAAATTAGCTGAATGAAAGGAATCGAATATAGATAATACTGTGAATTGAAATCATAAGATTATTATAGGGATGGTCATCAACATTTTCACAGATACATCATCCACTGATTCGAAAAGATCTATAGGGTGATTATTATCCTCCACAAAAAAATTGAATTACTCAATCCAGGCCTGAGGCATATGTTGATTTCCATCGAGCTGAAGCATTGAGAAAGTAAGTCTCACTTTTATTCGTGTTATTCATGGATTGTGAAGTATTAATTTCCAAATAAATAAATTTTTTGTCAAACTTTCGTTTTTTCATAAACTTCATGGTTTTTTCAAACTGAAGTAAAAGTGTGAGGAAAATTTGGAATATTTTATTCCTGATATTTGTTTGTGACCTTTGGAAATTCCCTGTCACAGTTTACAAAAACGATATACAGGATGAACTTTCTGCTATAAACTAAACCATGGAAATTTTTCAAGAACGGTCCTGGATTTTTCCGATTCTGAATAAGTCAGTCGATTAGAGAGTAGTAGCGGAATATTCGAAGAAGCTGTTGGGAAGCTATGACCTAAAGATGTTAGTGCCAAATCTCATAATTCACCCTATATATTGGAAAAGAAGTGAAGAAGAAACTTTCTGATGGACATTAGATATTCATTCCTCTCAGGGGACTCTATATTCGTGGAAGTAGTATGTACAGTTCCTCACATGACTCACCCTGTATATTGCCTTGACCACGTATCTGTTAAGTCCTACGATAGGCATCTTTAGGACGGTCATTTCAGCGTACAGCGTCATTTCATGCCTGTGGGCGTTCAGGCACTATATGGACATATAATGGATGTCTTCAAGATGTGTGGTGCCGTATACAGGGCATGTCACGACTAGCTTACACTATCTTTATATCCAGAATCAGTCGGTAAAAATCAATGAAAATGTGCGTGCTTATATTTCAGAATACGCTCTCTCCATTTAAAAAATTTTCGATGATGCAGTGTTGCCGCTTCTACTAGAAAGTAGTAGCAACATTGATATTTCAAATGAAACACCCTATATTTTATCGCATTTTTAGATTCTCCCTAAACAGCTGATTTCATCGATATATCACACTTGGGTTCAATCGAAAATGATTACAGAGATATAGGGTGATCAAAATCGAGATTTTTCAACTTTAGGATTTGTTTGTGTCGAAACTATTCATTATCGATCAAAACGGCTTACATTTCCCTATCTTAACTTTTGATTCACTATCTACTGGAATTTAATCGGAACAGATACCTACTTACAGGGTGATCAGAATTCTGAATCTTGAACCACCCTGTATCTGTTCCGATTGAATGTCAGTAAATAGTGAATCAAAAGTTGAGATAGGGACATGTGAGCCGTTTTGATCGATAATGAATAGTTTCGACACAAAAAAATCCTAAAGTTGAAAAATCTCGAATTTGATCACCCTATATCTCTGTAATCATTTTCGATTGAACCCAAGTGTGATGCATCGATAAAATCAGCTGTTCAGGGAGAATCTAAAAATGCGATAAAATATAGGGTGTTTCATTTGAAATATCAATGTTGCTACTACTTTCTAGTAGAAGCGGCAACACTGCATTATCGAAAATATTTTAAATGAAGAAGGCGTATTCTGAAATATAAGCACGCACATTTTCATTGATTTCTACCGACTGATTCTGGATATAAAGATAGTGTAAGCTCGTCGTGACATGCCCTGTATGGGTAAGAACAATATTCAAAAGTTCAATAGTTGAGTATGGCGCTTTCAGAATGTCGTAGATGTTGCCATTTCTTGTTAAATCCTTCTGAATATAGACACCTTTCGCCTCTCCAATAAGTCGTGGATTCAGAAATTCAAGGTTCGATGAAAGTCCAAGATGGCGGATGATTGACCTTCATTCTCTGATTCGCTTGTAAGTGTCCTTGATGGAATGACTTTGATTACGAATTTTGGATAGTCAATGAAATATGACCGTGATGAAGCATTATCATTATACTATATTATAATCAAGTAGCTTATTGTTGGTCGTGAACGTCTACACTTCTACAGGGAACTTCAAGAGCACTGCCATGGTCAGACCCAAATACTTTTTACTTTTGATCACGGTAAAAATGGTAAAATAAAAATGTCCAATGTGATTTTCAAAAACTTTTATTAAACTTCACTTATTACAATTACGTTACGTTAGATATTGTTGAAGTCAGATTATGAATTTCATGTTGGAGTTCAAGAATTCAAGATGTCGTCATGCACAGACATGGAGAACGACCTCCAAGAATTGAAAATCTAAGTTCAATATTTTAAAGTCAGAAAGTCGGAGATTTCGACAGTTCTGGTTAAATCCTTCTGGAAATATATACCCGTGGGCTTTTCATGTCGTGGATTCAGATATTCAACATGGTACTTCCAAGATGGCGGAGGATCATGCCATTTGTTTTACAGACTATATTCTTGTCTAGAATTACGAATTTTGAATAGAATTGATGAAATATGATGTTTATATAGTCGATTTTGTCAAGATCAGACATAAATTTCGTGTTGAGATCCCGGAATTCGAGATAACGCGCAATCAATAAAGAGCTATCACTCCTTCAATAAATGAAAATATAAGGTCTATCAGA